GCCTGCCGAGTAATTTCAAGGTATTTTGCTTTAAACTCCAAACTTGAGCAAAATTCAATTCAGTCTTTTACTTTCGTTAAGGGAATCCCGACGTCTTTTCCCTAGCTGTGTTCCCACTGCTTTCACAATATCTTTGTGAATTTTTTATACAGATTAACGAAGGAAGTTACTGCAGCTCGTGAAGCCTTGGCAACCCTAAAACCGCAGGCCGGCATTTTGCCCGGTAACCAAGCGGCTGCTCAGGCACAGCCTACGCCTTCTGTCGAGATGCCCGAAAGTGCGGCTGGTGATTCTTCTAACGTGAGTTTTAAATCTTTGCCATTTTCATATTTCTGCTTCTGTTTTTTCTTCAATCCCTTCAATTAAACACACTCTGTAATATTTTTCTGATGCATCATTTTCCTCCCAGTCGCTTCAATTTATTTATTAATTTCTCGCCGATATTCTATGCGTCTGAAACTTTTAAAAGTCCCATATGCAGTTTCCTCAGCAACTTCTACAATGGATGTTCCTTGGGATTCCTTCTTCATATCTGGCAAGGAACCTCATCCCCGCAGTTATCCTGATCTTTTACATAGCACGTCTCGACCAATTTTCTAAAATGTTGTCGTGTGTCTACGTTACCGAAACTAGGTGAATAAGTTGCTGTCTGTCGCCTGGAAGGCTTCCATAGAGCTTGAATGATTGGAGGAAAAAATGTGCCCTATCAGTTTCTCATACAGTTGTCAGCATGAAGGATTATCTCGTAGTTGTCTTGGGGATTTTCGGAAATGCCTAGGTTGGTTGAGAAAAACAGTTAAGTATTGTGTGAAAAGTAAACAGTAATAGCGTTTTTAGAGGAATTAAAAACAGTTAAAACACTAGGAAATTAATTGCACTCGGTGAATGCATGCAACCAATAATTACTTGTTTGGCTTAAGATTGTCCTTGCCTTTTTTAACATCAGTTACGACGATGCACCTCATGATTCCATCTATGTTCGGTTGCCTTTTAACATTCCCCTTCATTCCCTCATCTTCTAGCTTCAAGAGGAGATTGGTGTCTCTGAGGCCGTAGTTACAAGACTTCAGGAGCAGGCGGCCAAACTGACGGCTGAACGCAAGCGCCGAGGCAAGACTGCTCCCGAGGGTCTAGCCAAACCCAGTGCCATTTCGGAATACCAACAGATTGCTTCCCATGTTGGTCTGCATTCTCCCAGTGTGCCGGGTATTCTGTGCCTTGACATTAGCAAGTCTGTCCCTGAGCGTATCATCACCGGTGGCAACG